AACTGTAAGAAGTTGAAGCGTGTCTTGCCACAATGCTGCATTTCCCTCCTCCTCACCCAGAGCCCTGCCTGGGTGTTGGTGTTATTTCAGAGCTGCTCTGCCAGGTCACACCAACTTTTACACCACCACCACCTCCCTTCCTTCCCCCTCCCTTCCCCTCCCCTTTCCCTTTCCCCTCTCCCTTTCCCCTTCCCCTTCCCCTTCCCCTTCCCCTTCCCAGTGGCTCGCTCTCCCTCCTGCAGCAGCAACCCTTGGCTCTGCCTGCTCAATCCTTGCAAATGCAAAGCATGAGGCCCCATGGGTTGTACCTGAAGAAGCGGGTGATGAACATTCATCCCCAAAAGGGTAAATTTACTAAAGGACCAGGAGAGTTTTTCTTCGCTTCATTACAGCAAATTGCTCCACTCACACCTTGTGACCAACTCCATGGGACAGGGGAGAAAAAACAAGAAGTTCTGCTGTTAGATACTTCTTGGGTACTTATCCAGGTGCTTTTCTTCCCATTACTACCAAGGCCATCTGTTTTAAAAGCATATCTGTCTGGATTGCCATTTTGTCTGTTCCTGCTAGTTATTCTGCACCTGGAAGCAGTAATCCACTGTTCTGTTGTCGTAATTCTCTTCATAGCAATTATGTTTGATGCTGCATAAGAGTTATGATTCCACTGACAAATAGGCAGCAAGAGCAAATCTTGACTCATAAAATTAGGTTACTTTATGTAACTCCTTCTTGATCCCAGCTATACCCAGCTTTGACTCTGATGCAATGCACTTTATAGAGTTATTTTTGCTTTGCTATTGTAACCACAGCCAGGAGGAATTTCAACCTTGATCTGCCTCGACAGTTTTAAGGTTTGTTCTTCCTTAGGTCGGGATGATGCTTCAGTCACGAATGGGCTGCTGTGTGCTGTTTGGCAGATACCTGCTCTTGTGACCAGCAAAAACATGTTTGCTTAGGACACCTGCTAGAGAAGTTTTCACAAAGGCTAAATTAAATACCTTCTTCTGAGCAGAGTGGTCTGTACCATAACATCTCTGCTATTTCTTCTCTTGATTTTCTTCGGCAGGGACACAGGCAGTCAGATACGTTCAGCTGCAGTAGATGCCTATTTTTTTTTTTTTTTACAGGGTACTGCTCTGTGAAAGGAGAATTTGGTTTTATACTTGTAGTTACTCTGGATCTCTGTTCTTAGCTCCATTGTCCTTTTTGGTTTGTGTGTTTTAAGCAGAAAGCACAGAACTTATGAAGTACACCAGTATGATGTCTTGGAGATCAAACACCAAAGGGAAAAAAATCTGGATAAGAGAAAGTCCCCTAGAGGTGTATTTTTATTAATCCATTAATTAAGAATACCACAACAAGTGTATAAGGTATCAGTCAGCATGTCTTAATTATGTTTAGTCATCCTTTGTTGAGGTTCATGGTCATTAACTGCTGTAGTGGCAATATAAGTTCAGACAAAATTGGGCTTGTGAGGGGCCAGCTATCAGCGAGACAGAGGGAAAAATCCTCCATGCTCATCAAAGCCAGCCAGCAAAACATGCTTTTGCAGCTGTGCAGGTTTTTTTGTTGTTGCCATGCCATAAGGAATCCCAAAATACCAATGGCTACAAGGCAAACACTCAGATGACGGCAGATCCTTGCTGATGCTGCCAACCTGCAGACTGTCACCAAATGAAGCGACTAAAGACTTTCCATGAGAGCCTTAGCAAAAGCATTTTCTTCTAAATCCACCTGCTATTGAAGGGAAAGGTTCAAAATCCATCAAATGGAACAAAAAACTGAGCATAAAGCTCAGTGTTCACACAAAACTGAAAGAAGAGCCCCAAAATCCTAAAGCAGCAGAGTGACAAAGTGCTGAGGTACCACTGACCCCTGGGGACAGCACAGCGGCGGGAGGAGAACACTGCAGTTGCTGTGGAAGGAGGCTGGGAGAGCTGTCCCCCTGCATGGAAAGCACCCAAAGGTCCCCCAAGAAAAACCTTTGGGTTCATCAGGAATGCTAGCAATGGATGGCTCAAAGAACCTGAGGCCCTTGGCAAGCAGGGATTCTGTGCAGCAGGTTACCCCCATAAAGGAACTCTTCTTCCTCGGTGCTTCTCCCAAGGTTTGAACTCTAGATGCAGTGGGAGGAGCAGCAGGCTTGAACAACTTACTGTGTGATTTTAGTCAACAATTTCAAGGATATGTGCTGTGGGGAAAAAGGAGGTAATTTCAGAAGGAAGATATCCATCCTCATTTTTTGTAGCACTAGGATGAGAATCACACATGACTGCATTTCCTGACCTTCCCCTGCTGAGTGGCAGCACTGGTTCTTTTTACTGTCCTCCTATTTTTGCAGTCCCAGAACAAAAATTTTGCTTTTTGGCCCAGCCTGTGTATTGCTGAGCTAGCCTGGGGAGAAGTGCCTTCCCAATATCAGCACCATACTTGGTCCCAAAGATGCAGTTCCATGAATACGAGTTTATAAACACCAACTGCCCCACCCCACCATCCATTTCCTTTGTATGATACCCTCCACAGATACGGGCTAACCATCTGGGCCACACAGCATCTGGGTTGCAAGAAAATGCAATCTTCCAAAGATGAAAACTCTCGCAGCCCAAGAGCAGAGTGGTGCTGCTTTGGCTTCTCCCAGATTTCCCCCACAAATAATCTAAGTTTTAGTACAACATTAGAATTTAAAATTAGTGTCAGAACAGAATTTGGAAGTCCATTCTTTTGCCAGAACTGGAGTTTGCCTTTTCTCAGACAAGCAGTAAGTTTAGTCCTATTTAATTCGCAAGGAGCACGGTCTGAGCTGACCTCTCCCGGCAGGGTGCTCTCAGGGACCGCAATGACTCCTGCAGGGAGCCCGTGGCTGCAGTGCCTAAACCCCAAACACCACGGTAGCATACACAGAACCTGCAGATCCTCCCTGCTCCTTTCTCATCTTCATCTTCAAGCCAGCCTTTGTCTGAGCTTTGGCAGCTCTCTCAGCTTTACTGTCCCCGCCACCCTGGATTTCTGATTTCTCTGGTACATCTCCTCCCAGCCATGGAGTTGCATGTGAGACACCTACTTCCCATCTGCACATTTCCAAATCAGAACAGTGTATTTATGATTACTACTGGTAGCTGGAGGGACTTCTACTCTCACCCACTGCAGTTTTTCTCACCCAAAGAGAAAGCACAGTAACCAGCCCGTAGAGGTGTTTGCATTCCTCTTGGAGACAAGAAGTGTCTTGCATGCTTACGTGATACTGAATTCTGCTTTTGCTTGAAGGGTGTGGGTGCAATGTGGGCCGGGTGTTTTTGAATCCAGATTCAGGCCCCCAGATTATTATGGAAACCCAACCATCAGGCTATGGGAACAAAAGTTGCTGGGCACATCCTCCTTGAGCACCTTCACCATTGTCTGCTGGCCAGACTTGGGAGACATCCTGGGCCAGATTGGTGTTTTGAATCTCCACTCTTTTATAGCAGATACTTGACTTCTTTGTAGTGGAAAGCTTTATAAACACCTACTTAGACCATGTTCAGACAAAGAATGAAAAAATATTTACGTTGGAAATTTTCAACCCTTTTCAGATTGTCTAATAAAACATATTCTACCACCAAATCTGTTCAGCTGCCCACTGCATTTTGGATTTCTTGCAGAAGAAAGGTGTTTCTTAGGCAAAAAGCACACTTCAAGGTGAGAGGAGAGGGATTCAGAAACACTGGCAGAAGAACAGTGTTGAGAGATGGAAAAGAAACAGCTTGTTCCTTTCCATTGCAGTCCTCACATCTGCGTGCACATGGCCTGACCTGACCAAAAAGTGTTCTCAGACACGATCCTTTCCATCTTGGAGTTCACTGAGGTTTTTTCCAGGGGTTTGTCGGTTGTTATGGAGGGTTTTGTTTCTCCACCTACACAGCTGCTGATGTTCCCTGGAGGTTCTCAATTGGTTCTGCCAGGCAGTAAGTGGCATTTGAATATATCAGACTGAGCCTGTTTCTATGTAAACAGGGAGACCTGTGAAGCATCACAGTGGAGCTTCAGCTAGGAAGAGCCAGGAACTGTCTTTGGGTCTGGATTCTGAAAGTGCCCAGAGCTTGCACAGGAGTGAGGTGGGGCTGAGTCAGTCCCTGAGCCTCTCCAGGCACCCTCTGCTAAGTGACAGCAGAATTGCACCAAATTGGACTTTAAAGCTTTCGACACTAATGCCAAGGCTCTGCTTTCAGTCTGATTTGAATGCTCTGTTTGATCAGAGTATTTCAAAATTATCTTCTAGCATTTTCTGTATCAGTTTTTAGACAGAAAATGAGGAGGAAAGGTGGGCTCTGGATTTGTGTATTTTTGTGCAAGTTGGGAAGCAGAGGGTATTATCCCCTCTTTTCCTTGATTTCACAAAAGGAAAATGTGTGTATGACAGGTTACGGAGAGTGAGATGGTCCAACAGTAAAGCTTGCTTGCCAAGTGGCACAGGAGGTGAGCGAGAATTAACATTTCTCATCAACAGAGGAAGGACTGGCTTTGTTACCAGCAGGCTTTGGACCTGAACAGCCCACGTGCTGGGACATGCAGACTCTTTCATTGCAGGAAAGCTCCTGCCTCTGACCATCGAGTGTGATGGCCATCACCCTCCCTCCTCTTGCTTGCCTTTCCTGGTGGGATGCATGCTGTAGTACTGCCCTACAGCCTCCCATCTTCACAGTTACATCCAGCCCTGACGCCACTATACGGAGCTTGTGAAAATGAAACAGCTACCAGCATCTACTGGGATGAGCCCTTGGGCGCTCTCATTGTGCAATTCCTTTGTTCAGGCGTTGATCTCATCACATGTACTAACTGCATAATTCAAACACAAATTCTGACTATAGGTAGAAAATTAAATGATGTGTAAAGCTTAGTCTACTTTGAATTCACTCTTTCTTTCTCTCTTTTTCTTCCCCCCTTTTTTTTTCTTTCTAGGAACAAGATGCCCATGAAGTTTAACCTCTCTTAGCCTTGAAAGGAAAAACTGGGGAGTAAAAGCTATGGATCCTTTATACTTTCCCAACACTTTTAGCACAGAAGCTGGTTCCAGCGATGTGAATTCCTCACTGCTGACAAACGTGACAGAGAATGGGACGCTCTCAGAGCAGCCCTCATTCAAATACATCCACAAAGTCCTGATTCCCATCTGTTACCTCCTTGTATGTACAGTCGGACTCAGCGGCAACACATTAGTCATTTATGTGGTTTTGCGCTATGCCAAGATGAAAACCGTCACCAACATATACATCCTGAATTTAGCTGTTGCCGACGTACTCTTCATGCTGGGCCTGCCCTTCCTGGCCACCCAGAATGCCATCTCCTATTGGCCTTTTGGCTCCTTTTTGTGCAGGCTGGTTATGACTGTAGATGGTATTAACCAATTCACTAGTATTTTTTGTTTGACTGTGATGAGCATGGACCGCTACCTGGCAGTAGTTCATCCCATTAAATCAACCAAGTGGAGACGTCCCAGGGTGGCCAAGCTCATCAGCATGACCGTCTGGACATTCTCGTTCTTGGTGGTGCTTCCAGTCATCATCTTTTCAGATGTGCAGGAAGACTTTCACACCTGCAACATGAACTGGCCAGAGCCTGTCAACATCTGGTCAGCAGCGTTCATCATTTACACATCGGTCCTTGGGTTTTTCGGTCCTTTGTTGGTGATCTGTCTCTGCTACTTGCTGATAGTGATTAAAGTCAAATCTTCGGGGATCCGAGTTGGGTCTACGAGGCGCCGGAGATCAGAGAGGAAGGTGACCAGGATGGTGGTGATCATTGTGGTGGTCTTTGTGTTTTGCTGGCTCCCATTTTACATGATGAACATTGTCAATTTGATATTTATACTGCCAGAAGACCCTGTGTTGGTAGGAGTGTACTTCTTTGTGGTGGTCCTGTCCTATGCAAACAGCTGTGCCAACCCCATTCTTTATGGATTTCTTTCTGACAACTTCAAGCAGAGTTTTCAGAAAGTCCTTCGCCTCCGAAAGGGCAATGGTGTAGAGGATGGTGATCCTATTGAACACAGGCAAGAGAACAGCAGCCGCTTGCAGGAATCAATGTTAACCCAGAGAAATATCGAATTCAATGGACATATGCAGACTAGCAAGGTCTGAGGGCATGGTTTGGTACTGCAAAGCACTTGTAGACCTGGAGAACTTGGGGGCTTAAAGGAGAGATTAATTCATGGGAAAGCTAAAATCTGGAGACCCATAAGCTCAAATAAATGTACATAGACTTCACTCCCCTCCCTTTCCCAGCTAAAAGTGTTATGGGCTATACTGGGCTGTGTGAAGCTCTTACGGAGTTTTAGTTAAGTCAGACGTGTGTTACCACTTTCTGTACTCTAGAGAACTGATTTACTGGTACCCACTGCTGGCTTTGTACTGCTCTAGTGATGCAAAACAACACTAAACCTGTTTTAACTACCTTGTTAAGCTGAGTTTATGGCTGCTTTGCACTGTTGGGAACAGCTCAAAGCAGAAAACAGCTCAGATAATATCTTTGGAAGTCTTCAAGGGGATCTCTTAAAAGAAAAACACTATTTCTTAAGAGGAGGTTTCATACAAAAAAGGCCACAGCACTGATCTTGAAACTGTCTATGAGCCATGGTTACAGAGTGCTGTGTACTCCATTTACATTGTTTTACTGTCATTAACCCACAGAAGAGATTCATAATATTCGGGAATCTTTCAAAGACAGTAAGAGAATAAAAACAAGACTAGGAAAACATTGTTGAAAGGATTCAATGTATTCATAACACTTTCACATCCTAAACCAAACTGCATATGAAATGTAATGTAACCATTTTATTATTATGTAAGTGACGATGATTGTGAAGTCCTGGAAAGCTGTTGTGTATAATTATTGGCTCTGGATGTAAGTATGGACATGAATATAAGCTGTATTTTCAGAAATTAAAACAAGTTCAATCCCCTTCTGACTCTCCATTTCATGGCTTCATCAAGCACTGTCAGGCACTGCACAGAAAAGATACAGCTGAGTGATGCTTAAATCCTTGGGGTTGCAATATAGTTTAGTATGGTAGGACCAGGTACAGAGACCCATGCGGCTCTGTCCTGCTCAGACACCAAAAGGAAAGTGACTGTGCCTCATGGTGCTTGGGAGCTCAGGAGATAAAGTGAGATCAAATGACTGATGTGAGACCATATAGCAGGATGGGGGGAGCAGGGAACAGCACCCAGACCTGATTCCTGCCTCACATCTGATAGAAGCTACTTGCACTGTAGAGTGAGGACTCTTCATACACAAAAAGGAAGAAAGCAAATTAGATGTTTCTTCTAATCCAGGCAGAAACTATTTACTCTCTTTAAAAATTGCTTTTGACTGCCACTGCCACCCACACAGATCAACCAGTCCTTTTGTAAGGAATTTTTTTTTTTTATAATGGCAAGCAGGGCAGGCGATACAAAAGGAGAGGGCATCTCAGCTGTCCTTCCAACCTTTGGTGACCTTCTATAGCGTCTCTAAGGGATGTGGCTGAGCCCTGGCACCAGCAATAAATATCAGCCTGGCATTTGTACAAGCAAGGCAGATTATTCAAATAACTCTAAACAGAGCATGATGCTGACATGGTTCCCCCTGGAGTGAAACCCAGAGGAGAGCAGACAAGAGTGATTAGAGTGAGAGGCCCTGTGTTGAAATTACTGAAGATTTTGGGGCTGGCAGCCTTCCAAAATGAGACCCAGGTTGCAGTCCTCTCCCCCTTGTAGCTTTGCAAAGGCTCAGCAAGTTCAGAAGAGGAGCCTGGAGATGTCGGTTCAAATCCAAGTTACCGTTATCAGCTAGTCCACAGCAGCTCATTTCCATGAGTCCTTTTGACAGAGGCCTTCAGAACGGCTGGGAGTGGAGACCTGTTGCTTCTCTTAACTGCCCTTCTTGTAGTTCCCGGTCCAAACCATGTCCTGACATGGACCGTTCCAAATCTACTCGCGTGTTGGCTCACCTGTGCCATAAGGTGCTAAAAGCAGGTCTAATCTGTTAAAACATGTGGCACTATAGTACACAAATACTTCTTAACATGCTCTGCAGGAGGAGAAGGTTTAAATCCTTACCCAGAGACCTAGTCACTGGGCTTCTTAATAGGCTAAAACTGACTCTGGATCTACTGATCTTACCATAAGCCCTAGCAGGCAAGTTCCTTTTTGGATTTGTCTTCATACCTAAGATATTTCTAATTGACATCTGTCTTAGTTGGGAAAAGCATGTGTTTCTGTTCAGTGATATATGTTCTGGCCTACCATGTGTAGGTTAAAACCAGCCCATACATCTGTCTTCACTACAACAACCACAGTGGAAGAATGAAAACAAGATCCTGGGAGGGTGAAAACAGAAACCTGCCCATTCTCCCAGGCTAGTCCAGGAAAAAGTTGTGCATCTGGAAATGCAAACAGAAAAATTGTGTAATGTCCAAAAAATCAGCCTGAGGTGAGAGGTAGGGGTTACCACTGGGAGGTCCCATGATGGGCCATAGAGCTGCAATGGTCTGTGTGTGAAGAATGAAGAAAGCAGGACAACAGCCAGAGCAAAACGTGGTTTGTCCTGTAGGCTGACTCCAGCCACAGGACCTGTAACCACAGGTAGACAGAGCCTCTGCTCCCAACCAAGGGCATCCTCTTTCAGCTGTGCAGGTGGAGAAGAGAATTGACTGTGTGGCCCTCAGCCCTGAGCACCAGGTACACCAGGCAGGGTTATAAATATAAACTACTTACTCCTGATGCAACTATTTCACATGAACTCATAGGATGGACCGATTCCTAAGTTCTTCCTCCCGCCCACTATGGTTGTGTATATATGCACCATTTCCCTTCTTTGTGCCATCATACATGGCCACACTCACATTACCCAAGCACAAGAGCACAAGAACTCACCAGATACAATAAGAGACAATTGCCTGATGTTCCCAGAGCCTGGTCCCTGGCTTGGGCCATTAGTAGGTACGTTCAGGCTTCTTGCAGTAGCAGGCTGTAGCCCACCTTCCATACACCTGCGCTATACCACAGCCATTAATTTGAAATCACAGCACAACCAGGTTTACATTGATTAATTAAGTCATGCAATATCCATTATTTCCAGAATTATCAGGCTGTTCCAGGCATAAATCAACTCTCTTATTAGTTCTTGAGACACACAGAGTGATTAGCGCAGGCCTTTATGTCATCTCTGCTGACTCCATCTGCCTCCAGTTGATTAGCCAGAAGTTCTTCTCCAGTGACAGAATTAGAAAAGCCCATTTTAGTTCACTGATCACTTTGCAAGTGGCAGTAATAATTAATGCTCTCACGGAGGAAGGGTGTCCTGTGTGCGCAGCATTGGTAGCTTGCTTTGCAGAAGTGCAGGGATGCAGAATTTGAGTCAAAGTGTGTTGCTGAGCACATCTATGCCATCGCCAGTCACCAGCCTGATCCTCTGGAGCAGCTGAGCTCTTAGGTGCAGGGAAAATTAGCAGAATGCAGAAACCAGAGGGGTTTTCACAGTAGCAGCAAAGCTGAGTGAGGCTGGTTGCTCTCACCAGCTATGTGCTAGGTCAGTATTTGCTATGGAAGTAGCAAGACATGGTTATGAGCAGGGAATAGCTGAAAATCCCAAAATAAAAAAAAACTTATGATTTGCTGTCTCCTACCAATGTGCTTGGAGCTCCACAAAAATCAGAGCTGGCAGGCCTGGAGACAGGCAAAGCATCGGGAAGCAGAGGGGAAGGGTGTTGTTGCTGCCGGTCTTCACCAGCATTTTCCTGAGGCTGCCTGAGAGAAGGGCTGCTTGGATATCTCAGTCTTCATTTTTAGGAGAGATCATTTCACATGGGGATTATGAATGATTTGGTATAAACTTGAAGCAAGTGTCCCCAACAGCCTTGAAACCAGCAGTCCGACGGAAACCTTTGACGCTCTTGGAACTGGCAGCACCACCACCAGAATTAAAATGAGCAAGGAGCAACAGTCTCAGACTTAGCTTTTTATATTTTAAAATAAGTTTATAGGTGGGGCAGAGCCTCGCGTATGATGTAGGGAGGTTGTGAGGTGGATATTGGTTTGCCAGAAGACTGCTCGGAATAGAGACGGAGGAATTTGGAGTTGGACAAAACCATCTGCAGACTCAGAGTGATGGTTTGAGGGCAGAGGGTAGATGACAAGCCCAAAATGTCCCTCCAGACATTGCCTCCCAGGATCAGACACCCCTTTTAGACATCTTTCAGGCTGAGGCATATCAGACCTGCAGGGACTGTGTGAGTGTTACTTTAACACAAAAATAAACCCACCTTGCTAAAAGAAGTCATGCACCTAGAGATTAAGCAATATAACGAGAGGCAGATGGAAGAATAAACTCCAAAACCAAAGAAAATAAAAAGCCTCCTCAGTGGATTAGGTGAGAACACAGAAGAACTGAAGAATACTCACAAGACCAACACTTGAGTAAAAATTGGCAGAGTTGAAGTATCAATGATTTCTGGGTAACTTCTTATTTTCTCTTCAGGGAAAAAGCTAATATTCATTTCAAACCTCTCTGAGCATGGGAGAGAGCTAAAGAGGCGTGATAAATGAAGACGCGGAGTTCTATTGCTCCGTCACGTTAATCTGGTGCAGTATCAGGACACACCAGGGTAACAATAATCTGGTGTATTACGGATACTCTGTTTTTCTTTCTGTAATGATTTTATAACATGCTGGAAAGAAAAGCCAAGAGCATTTCATGCCAAGACGCTTTATAAACATTAATATTCTGCTAACAAAAGAATCGTCTTTTACCACAGAGGAAGTTTTAGTGCAAACTATAAGCTCTTTGTGTACTGAGCCAAATATCTGTTGTTTTCTCTGACCCAAAGCCAGGTCAATGTGCACTGTGTAGAGTTACCGTGTGCTAATCATCTACCGTGGTCTTCAGGCTTATGCTACAGAGATTGCCTTCACATCCCTCTGGTAAAACATTCTGGACAAAGTATACAATTTATGCATTGAATGAACCAAACCCCCAAATTGTTTGCATACATTCTGGGTCTTAAAAAGTCTTTTTTTCAAGTAATCTGGCTGTTGTTATGATGGTAACTCTTAGGTCTCTCACCTGCCCGAGGCTGCCTCTCAGCCAGAGGCTGTTATCT